TATAGAGATCAGTAACAATATGTCCTCATGAATCCTGTATTAACCGCCTGTGTCTGCTCTCCACCATATGTTGCAATCCCCAAACCACTAGACGCTTCTTTTGAAACACAGAACAAAATATGGACCCAGAGCAGTTGGTTTATCCTCTAAGTTTATCATGCTTTAGAAGAATTCTCAAGAAAAAACCTTTGAGGAATTTTCCTTTTTTAATTACAAACTCCGTTCTTCCCTTATGCTTTTGATCCTCTCTGTTAGCATATAGAGCAGGTAGTTATTCTGGCTACCTTGTTCTATCTATTTTGCATGACTTGAAAAGGAGAGGTCTTTTTCAAATGAAACACCATAACATTGAAAGGACACTAGCAGCAGTAAAGCCATATAGATCAACAGATTCAACCTAACAGCTCAGAGGCTAAATCTGACCCACAAATAAATTGTTGCACTGTTCGTTTTACATGGTGTTTATCCTCACAAATATTTTATTTGCCAAAATCTTCAAAAATCAGAAGATTTTTTAGAAATCAAAATTACCAGGGTGGGGTGGCCTTTTCTTGACTAAATTACCTCTGAAGTGTGGGCTGAAATGTCCCCCCCCCACCCCCCAGGAGAAACTAACGTGCTCCACTCTTCAGGACAAGAGCTTTAGATGGACTGGCATGGTCATTCTTTTCAAAAATAAAACAACTGGTCATAAAACATTTATTCCAACAAATGGTATTTTTTTAACGACTGCAACAACAGAAGAGTCCACATAACACAAACACAGCTGTATCACATTTCAAACCACTGTCTAATAATAAAAGCTAAGGGGGAAATTTAAAAATGGAGAAACATCAATATGTTAGGAAAGGAGTTAATAGCTTTTTTCAAACTTTTCTGAAATGCGTAATTGGGCAAACGATATAAATATGGTTCAGACAGAAGGAGATGGGGAAAACAAGCATTGAAAACTAGCCTCACTAATTGGAAAAACACAAAGGAGAATATTGAAAACAGGACAACAGGGTTAATTATAGAGCAGGGTTATTGGAGGAGTGAGCACCCGTGACTGGGGCATCGCCGGCAACACTGGGAATGGCTGTCAACTGTGGTACACTGTGGTACACCCCAAGTCAAAACAGTTGCAGCATCTGACCTGGTAACCCCACCCATTGCAATTTGGGGAATGGTTACTTATTGATTAAACAGTTCAGTGAGATTGGGTGGGCCAGAGTGAGCTTGGAAGGACAGAGGGGAGCCATCAATGACTGAGATCTGTCCCTGGCTGAATCCTGGGACAGTCTTCTGTCCTTGGCCCTTGGGAGTGTGGACTGTGAGTGATCAGCTGAAGCTGTAGGTGAAGCAATGAAGAAAATAAAAAACACACTTTAGTTTGCAGTTATTCGCTCTCATTATGCAGCTCTCGACAGCATGAGGCTGGGCTGTTACTGCGTCTCTGAATGTGATGTTTCTTCTCATGTCACAACTGCAATCATCGTTTTGTCTACATCACTGAACTTTACTTTAAAGATCTGACATTGAATATTCATTGCTCCTCTCCTCCTCCTTCCTCCGACCAGTGATATATGTCAAGTTGTGTCGGTCCCACCTTATTTGAAAACAAGTTCTCCTGGGATGGGGGCGGGGGCGGGGGGG